TCCGAGTTCGAACTTCTCCGGATGAAGGAGAATGATAACGTCGACGATTTTTCGACGAAGTTGACAGGAGTCGTCAACAAGATCCGGGCTTTAGGCGGCGAGATGGAGGAGAACTACGTCGTCAGAAAGCTACTTCGGGCGGTACCGGAGAGATTCCTTACTATCGTCTCCACGATTGAACAGTTCGGGGACATCGACGACATGACACTCGAGGAGGCGATCGGGCGCCTCAAAGCCCACGAGGAGAGGGCACGTGTTTTTCGAAACAACGTCGACGATCACCTATTGTTGACGCATGCGGAGTGGCAAGCAAGGAGCAAGAAGAACGGCGGAGGCTTCCTCTCAACACCTACAACCAATGATGGCAGCGGTCGAGGACGAGGTCGCGGGGCCGGTCGTGGGCGTGGCCGTGGCCAAAGAGGCCGAGGCGGACAGCAGTACCACGGCAGCGGGCAGCAGCACCACGCTGCCCAAGCAGGCCGCGGAGGGGAGCACGGCGGCCAGGCAGGCCGAGGCGGCTTCGGCGGCAGAGGAGGACGTCCAGGAGGTGGTTTCGGCCATGGAGGTGCAGCTCGCCAGGAGGGGGAGAGTAGCACAAGCGGTGGTCGAGACAAATCCAACATCAAATGCTTCAATTGCGGAGTATACGGGCACTTTCAGTCGGAGTGTCACAAACAACGCCGCAACCATGAACAGGAGGCTCATCTCACCCGTGCATATGACGAGGAGCCAACCTTGATGATGGCTATGTTAGAAGAATCGTCAAGTGCTATTTTGCTTAATGAGGAGAAGGTGGTGCCGGATTTACTTACAGCGGGGGAGGCACATGTTGACAACAACACTTGATATCTTGACAACGGAGCTAGCAATCACATGACCGGCCACCGAGACAAGTTCAAGGAGCTCGACGAGAACATCAAGGGAACCGTCAAGTTTGGTGATGGATCCGCGGTAGAGATCAAGGGGAAAGGCTCTATCCTCTTTCAGTGCAACAACGGCGATCAAAGGCTACTACCTGAGGTATATTATATTCCAAGTTTGAAATCTAACATTATTAGCCTTGGTCAGATGACTGAAGATGGGAGTAAGGTTGTTATTGCTGACGAGTTCCTGAGGGTGTTTGATAGGAACGGTGCACTCTTGATGAGGGTGACACGTTCAACTAACCGATTGTACAGGATAGAGTTAAAGACTTGCAAGCCGGCGTGTTTGATGGCGAACATTAACGATCCAGCTTGGTTATGGCATGCTCGCCTTGGGCATGTCAATTTCTTCACCCTCAAGATGATGACTGATAAGAGGATGGCTTCCGGGTTGCCGAAGATCTTGCACCCGAGCCAACTATGCGAAGGATGCCTCGTCGCCAAGCAAGCAAGACTGCCGTTCCCTTCCACCCGAGCCAACTATGCGAAGGATGCCTCGTCGCCAAGCAAGCAAGACTGTCGTTCCCTTCGCAAGCAAATTTCAGAGCTCAGAAGTCGCTGGAGTTACTACACGCTGACCTATATGGTCCTATCACCCCATCTACACTTGCTGGGAACAACTACTTCCTTCTTATCGTTGATGATTTCAGCCGATGGATGTGGGTATACATGTTGAAGGCCAAGAGTCAAGCTTGTGAAACCTTCAAGAAGTTCAAAACAGAGGTTGAGAATGCATGTGACCACAAGGTGAAGACATTGAGGACGGATCGTGGTGGCGAGTTCTTGTCAAAGGAGTTCACCAAGTTTTGTGAAGACTACGGCATCAAGCGTCATCTCACTGCACCGTACACCCCGCAACAAAACGGTGTAGTGGAGAGGCGTAACCGCACGGTGATGGACATGGCGAGAAGCCTACTTAAGAGCATGCATATGCCTGGAACCATGTGGGGCGAAGCGGTTAGGCACGCGGTGTACATCCTCAACCGACTACCAACCAAGGCGTTGAACGACCACACACCCTACGAAGCTTGGTTTGGTAAGAAACCCCACCTAGAACACTTGAGAGTTTTTGGATGTATGGCGCATGTGAAGATTGCAGGTCCTTCTCA